GGAAGGGGGAAGAGAAGGGTAAATACCCAGGGGGAAGGGAAGAGAGGGGCAAATACCCAGGGGAGGGGAGGAAGAAGAAGGTGCAGGAGCTCAGGTTTGTTGCTGATTCCCCCCGCCACACACACAGCTCCAGCTCACCCTCTGATGTTCATCCCCAGATGTTCAAATCTAGCCCCCTCCCTTCAGAATAGGTCTCCTCCCAATTCACCAGCCCAGTGTTTCCCCTACCTCTGCCACATCTTGCTAACTGCAGGGTAGAAGTGCTGTGCAATTGAAACAGTGGCTGTGGAGCACACAGTTCAGTTCGCCTTTCTGCTCCACTTGGAGCTGTTTGAATCCTAAATCAGAGTCACTATGGCTGGAGTTGAAAGCGTCAAAGACTTGGAAGTAGATTAGGCTTTTGACAGGTTTAGGAACTGGTCTGGTCTAAGTCATTTCCTACTGATGTAGTTAGAATAGTGCGAACTTCTAAAGTAGGCATTGTAAGGTGCCAACCACAAGGGGGACCTGCTTCTACTGCAATATGAATAGTACTGCAACAATATAAAGCAGAGCTTATATCAATGCAGTTTATTCCACTAGTTGTCTACATTAGTGTCTACATCAATATTGTTACAGTGGTGCAAATTATTCCAATGTAGGCAAGACCCTGGTCTTCCTTTCACTATCCAACAGTGCACAAAAGGGGGTTGGAAATCTGAATCCACTGCTTCTCAGTCATATGCTTCCCAGAACTAAGGGACAGGTACCCAGAGAGCACTCTAACTGAAACAGTTTAGGACAGTGCTAATGTGGATATGAGGCAAAGGTTCTGATTGTAGTGTAGATTGCTGGCTAGTGTAGATTGCTGAATTGTTTGTGCTTTAACTGGTTCAATAATGAATGATGCAAGTCAGTAGTGTATATACAGCATAAGTGAATGATCATGGGCATAGAGGACATTAGAAACAGAATTGGAGGTCAGGAATTCCTGTCCAAAGCGAGTCTTGCTAACATAGCTACTCCCAAGCATGACCTTACTGTAGTAAGCCATACCAGTGCGCGTAACTTTTTACATCAGTGCAGCACATCTACAGTAAGGGTTTCCATCTGTGCAGCTATATCAATGTATCCTGCAAAAAAAAAAAAAAAAAAAAAAACATCTGGACAGGTGCACTTTCTAGCCTTTTT